AGCTATAACAAGTATATTTGTCTTTCAACGCTGCCTTCTGGAGAAGCTGAATCGTTCGTGAGCACTTGTAACTGTTAGGAGAGTCTAAAAGAGGCATAATGTCTGTATATCAACATTGACATATGTGTTTTCGTCAAGGATTGGGGAAGGGTCCATCATTAAAAGCTTTCACCACTGAATTAAGAGGTGGGGGACCAGCTGAATACTACGGTGTCTATCACTATCGATAAATGATGGTCGTTCCCTAACCTCAGCATATTGTCCACTTGATTTGCAGCGGGAAGGTAAGGCAATCGTAGGGCCTTTGCCGTGGTCTGCCAGCATTGTGTACGGGAGCGCAGGTTTTAAGACGACACAAACTCCCCCAGGGGTGGCGGCGAGGAATATTAAAGGACCACTGCTCTTCAAATGGTGCCGTGTTGACTACAACAAAAAAAAAACAATCGACTGGAGATTCCCAAAGGAGAATATATCGGTAAAACTGTGTATCACAGTAGTCGAAACTCAGAATCCACACCCAAAGTGGAAGGTGGCGAGTATTATGACATCATTGTTAACTCCAATTTGGACGAGATTGATTCCCAAGGTGAGATTAGCATATGTATAATTAAACGGACTTGACTTCAATTACGCGTCATCTGCCAGTCATCATCATTTAGTCATTAAATTTAGCACTACCAGAGAAGAAACGCCATTTTCAAAATTAATATGCCTTTTATTTGTTTCCTGTAAATGCCTTCTTCTAGTTTTAAGAGAAGAAGCGTGCAGTGCATCACTAAACAATCCCTTGACTTATAAATTCCCTGTTTGAAGCATTTGGCAGTTGAATTGATTTAATTATTTCTCCAGTCAATACACAGCTTACAACAGAAACAAAATGACATGAATTACATCAAGCTGCCATTTAATGATGTTACTCAGTAGCAAAACAATGACTACCACATGCTGACTGATAACAGTCAATCTAAGAGTATTTGTGTCAGAGTTTTCTTCATAATGTTTCCAGCCAAGGTAGTATTTCCTTATCTCTATAATCAGAGTATGCGGTGGAAGATGTGATAAAACTGCGAGCTATAGAGAAAGAACTACTGCTACCTGGAATGGACAGGGCACAACGCAAAGCTCGAATCAGCAAGTATCTACACTGGGTGAGTGAAAAAGCAAGTAAGCTTTAGAAGCTTTTGGTTTGTTCTGTCTATCTGTACAATTCCTTTTGCGGGCAAACAAGCCATTCCCTAAGTCTTGTTGCTTGCTCTTCATATTGTTGAGGAAGTTCCAGAGAAACCTTGCTGAGGCTTCAAACTCTAAGTTTAGCTGAAAGAGAAAATTCCAAAAAGAGATGTTGAGTTATCTTCCTAGANCAAAATTAATATGCCTTTTTATTTGTTTCCTGTAAATGCCTTCTTCTAGTTTTAAGAGAAGAAGCGTGCAGTGCATCATTAAACAATGCCTTGACTTATGAATTCCCTGTTTGAAGCATTTGGCAGTTGAATTGATTTAATTATTTCTCCAGTCAATACACAGCTTCAATGTTTTAGTACAACAGCAACAAATTGACGTGAATTACATCAAGCTGGCATTTAATGATGTTACTCAGTACCAAAACAATGACTACCACATGCTGACTGATAACAGTCAATCTAAGAGCATTTGTGTCAGAGTTTTGTACATAATGTTTCCAGCCAAGGTAGTTTTTCCTTTTCTCTATAATCAGAGTATGCAGTGGAAGATGTGATAAAACTGCGAACTATAGAGAAAGAACTACTGCTACCTGGAATGGACAGGGCACAACGCAAAGCTCGAATCAGCAAGTATCTACATTGGGTGAGTAAAAAAGCAAGTAAGCTTTAGAAGCTTTTGATTTGTTCTGTCTGTCTGTCTATTTCCTTCTGCGGGCAAACAAGCCATTCCCTATGTCTTGTTGCTTGCTCTTCATATTGTTGAGGAAGTTCTAGAGAAAGCTTGCTGAGGCTTCAAACTCTATGTTTAGCTGAAAGAGATAATTCCAAAAGGAGATGTTGAGTAACTTCCTAGACTCAGCTTGAGTATGATAAGAAAGCTTCTGTTGACCGAATTTTTATGGTTTCAAATAACTATCTTTTTATTTAACTAGTAATCCCTCACTGCTTATACAGATAACTCTTTTCAACAGTTTGAACGGTCACTGAGCACAGACCAACACAAGTTGACGCTTGACGAACCGTTAATAGAAGAAGATTGTGGTTTTCTAAGACAAGTCTACCTTCCTTGCGCCGAGGATTCCACCATGTTGGATCTGACTTCTCTCTCAAAGGAAGACGTTCAGAGTTATGGAATCGTGTTCAATGCACTTGATAGTAAGAATACAAGATTCAGTTATTAAACTAATACATATACAGTGTCGTTTCCCTCCACTTTGTCGAACACTGTAATTTGGTCCTGATTTGTCGATCTACCCAATTTTTTTAAAGCAACTTCCGCTTCCCTTCGAGCTCCCAAACATCGTGGTACCACTGTACTTTTTTTAGTCGATCCTTAACTGAATCATTGTTTTGTGTTTTCGGGTAGCTAAAGACGCTTGACTCTCACGTACATCGCCCCTAACTACCAAGGAACATAAATGGGTACTGGCAAATGTATCTACGATGGATTAGCTCCTAATCGTTGGGGAGTATCGATACTTCAAGCACTGATGATTCATCTGACTTCTCTTCTACCCTCTAAATTGGAACGGACTCGAACCTTTTTATACCACTGACAAAAATCACAAAATAATGTCAGTGCAAGCCCTAGTCGCACGCCTCGTGGAGATTAAAGGAAAACGAAGCTATAACTATGCGTTTTGTTTCTTTTTGAATTAAAGGAAAGAGGAATCTCCCAGATATTCATGGTTGAAAATTTTTTTACTCAACAGCTTTGTCTGACGAAAAGTGGATTGAACTGGAGAGGACTATGGATTGCGCATGCCCTGAATGATGGCCCTGTGGACGTGGTTTTATGAGTTCCCTCTTGGAGTTATGAGGCCCTTACCTAGCTATTTCTCTTAGAGCATTGTTTTGGCAAACTAAATATAATTTTAGATCAGTTATCTAAAATATCGTCATGGTAAATATTTAAAATTGATGAGATATTAAAAGCCACTGGCTGTAAATATGGAGAATCCGGCGACAGGGTTGAAAATTCGAATTCTCCACTATTTCGTCGAAAAAGACCTTTTTGGAGAATTATTTTAAGAAACATGTTTTAACGTTTCAATTTTGTGAAATCTCGGAAAATTTCGAAAAAAAAGCCCATCGATCAACCAAGAATTACGAAGGGAGGGGGATTTAATGCAACATTGAGCATTTTAACAGGGCAGTAGTAGAGAAAGAAGGAATGGCCCATGAAAATTAAACTCGCTAAAAGAAAAACTATGAAGCGCATTGCAAAAACTTGTGTCATTTTTAGACGACTGAGCAAAAAATAATCCACCAATATGTTCTTTTTGACGAAATAAAAGAAAATTGGAATTTTCGGTTCTTTCGCCGGATTCACCATATCTACAGGCACTGGCTCTTAATGAGTTTGAAAAGCGTATGTTTGTCACCTATATACCTATATCCATATACCCAGTTACCACCTAACTCCTAAACAACTAGTGACCTTTAAAAAGTATCAATGGGAGACGTAGAAGACATTTAAACCTAAAGGATACTCGCCAATATAAAATTTTTGAATTACCTTTTTTGTTATTATCATACAGATATCTTAGCAACAGTGTTAAAATAAACATTGTAAAATAATGGAAATAAACTTTGTTTATTAATTAATTCGCTGTCTTATTTATGGTGACCTCGCTATCCCATCAGCACTCCAAATTAACGACTAGATGGGGTTGACTCCAAGATTTATGGTGGATTAATTAGCTTGGGATATTTTATAGAGAAATGAAGAATTTTAGAAAAGTTTTGTTTTCACTTCATTTCTGTAAGAGTTACTTCTAAAAAACTAAGCAATCTATCACTGCAGCTTTCCCCTCACTTGATTCACAATAAGAAGCCAAGTATTAATTTAGTTAAAACTACACGACTCAAAAAGTTAGCGGTAACCGATTTTCTTGAATAAGGTGGAGTTTAATTTGAATGTCAAATCCCACAACATAGCGAAATAAATATTCACGTCATGGGAGAGAGCGATTTGTGATTCTCCGTCACAATTATTACGAGCACTCCTTCCTGTGTTTCAGTTTCTGTCAAAACCAAAACACCTGTCAAAAGCGTTTTCTATATCGATGAAACGATGTAAAAATATCCATTCCAGCATCGTAATGGTGGTATTGTTCGTACTGCTAAACTGGAATGTGAACAAAGTCATTAAACAATCGCAGCCAGAGATAGTATTCCCAGATCTGACTGGGCCGTCGTAAGAACAAAGGTTTATAAATCAAAATCAATCAAATCAATCGTTAAAACTATTTTCCCTTCTCCCGTGCGAGGTCAAAGAACGAAAAGAAAAAAATCATCTTTTTTTATTTGAAACGGGGACCGTGCACGAGGGCTATGTTGGCAGCGGAAAATCGAAGCTGGTATAACTAGATGGCTTTCATTGAAGGGAAGTCCAAAAGGTTTGAGTCAAAAGTAAGAGTGGAATTTTTGCTACAAAACCGACAAAGATGAAAAGATTTCTGAGCATCGTTTTAAAATTAACGTCTTCCAGAATCCCTTGACAAACTAGATAAATCTATTTAAATTTCACGAAACCGAAAGATTGTAAGCTAGAATTACATATAACACTTTTCCAAAGAAAGCATTCTATTTTTGTCAAAACCTAGAGATGAAGAAAATTGTTTATTACTTCACCAGACTTTCGTTCTTTGAATGCTCTCAGTTTTGTGTCTTTTTATATAATAGTTAAGAATTCTATTTTATTTTGAACTAGTAGTTCTGGTATTGGAATGATATACCGGAAGATGTCATATCTCTTTTTCGTGGATATCTATGGGCGTCAGCACCATTTCAGTTTTCATGTTTTTCAGTTTTCAGTCAGCTTCTATTGCAAGTAAGTTTATGAGACTTTATATTCAGTTGGTCACGAGAATTAACCAAAGAAGCTAACTGGCCTCGAGTTTACGGTAGGTTTTCCAAACTACCTAGCTTTTTTCGTTCCGATACATGATCCACTAGTTCGCCAGCCAAGGTTTGAAAGTTGGCAGCCTTTTTTAAATCGAAGAGAATTATCAATGTTCATTTGTCATCTAGATGTAGAGAAAA